TCCTGGGCTTTATTTCTTCTTCTATTCTGTCTGCCCAAGACAAGTCTCTGCTAGCTTGCTGGACCATAAAAGGGCAATCATTCTACCTCTGAGTACAGAAGGAAATGACTGCCATCCTGTCAGCTGCAGTCCCTTGGAAGTTTATTGGAGACAGCAAGCATTTGGAAAAAATGAAAATGAAGTGGCAACTAGCTGTCATGTTTTTATGAGGCTTTTATCAAATGCCTCAGAATTGTTTCAATATTGCTGACTTTTACAATTAAAATGCCAAGATAGGTAAAGAACTGCTAGTATTCTTACCTTAATTTGTTCCTCTGTTTACTACATATATAGCTGTAGGATTTCTGTCTTCACCAGCTGTTGTGGTGTCATATCTGCTGTAAGATTTTGAAGAGCATAATTGTACATTATACACAATTTTCTCATAAGCTTATACTTGCATGCTTCATAGTGATTCTTTTCTAGTCTTGCTATCTTATACTCTTTAAACTGTTTAAAGACAGATTTATAGTAATGATTCTCTTATACAGTGGAAGCGTTTGAAATCTTCAATATAAGGATTTAGGTACAAAGTTAAGATATGTCTAACTCTCAAAGAAATCTTTCCCTTTCAACAGCATAGTATTAAATGAAAATTGCCTCTCATAACAAGCTTTAATCACGTGAGCTGAATCCCCAACAGCAATGATGCAAAACTTCCAGTAAGAAATATAAAGACACTATTTCGTGGTTGTCACATGCCAACAGTTTGGAACCCAGTAGAATATTCCAAGTATAAAGATTTATACTCCACAAGAATGGAGATATTTATTTTGCAGCTGTAGGTTGAATAGTGATCTTTTGAAAAAACAAGTTCCTTAAATAATATTTTAGTAAGATAGGTTGTCAGTGTAATAATTTTCATTTGATGTAATTGCTAAAAGAGATCTGTAAAAAAATGGAACAGATGCATCTTTTAAAAGATTAAAGTCATGTGTTCCATGTGACTTAGAATGTGCCAAAGTGGTGATAAGCAGGAGTGGAAATGTCAGTTGGGTTCAGTTTTAAAATATGTCGTTGTGAACCATATTGCGTGTAATTAATTAGTAATTGGGGGGTTCCTTTGCAGTGAGGAAATTTAAGTGTGTATTTACCATGTTTATTTAAGTAAACAAACTTATTTCAATAAACATGAAGAACTTCTAAATTATAATGCAATTTATCTATTGTGTGAAAATTTTTGAATCAGCTATCAATTAATAAACATGTTTTTAAAGACCATCTGTGCCTTACCTCTGTAGAGTTTGAGTTAAGCACCTTCATAACATATCCTTCCAAAAATGAAATTAGTTCCCCCCAAAAAATTTCAAACTTAATATGAAACCCAGTAAAGGGATTTATCTGAGTGTTGGATTGTGCTGGAATAGGCTTAGGAACAAAGAGAAAAACTAGCCATTCTTCTGCAGTGATCTGCAAAGACAAAAGAGAGTTGAAAGCATCACCAGCAAAGCTGGTTAGGGCTCTCCTTTAAGAATTCCACAATTTTTGTCTGGAATATTTTGTACCTTTCCAAACCTTTTTGTATTATAGAACAATGTCAGTCGTTAAGCATGTCCACCTCTAAACTCTGCAATTTGTTAAATCCTTAGAAAGGCATCAGATAACAGTAGTTCTTAGAACTGTATGCAAGGTAATGCTCTATTGCATTTTCCTAAAGATAACCCACGTTGAAATTCATAAATAATTCAAGAGTACTTAGAAAAAATATGATTCATTGCACAATATGCAACAGAAGCAGATGAAAAGTGACTACTTCCTGCTGTTTCCACAAGGAGAGTTTGAGGTTCTGTAGTATACTTAATTATATTTACAGCAGGATGAATAAGCAATTGAATTTCATTCAGGTATTTGTTTCCATTTTTGATGGATTTGCTGAGTCTGCATACTTGGACTCCTTGTGTTTGCTTGTATGCATAGAGAGCATTCTGAATCCCAGCTGAAGAAATATTTGCATATTGATATTCACACAAAGAAATTGTAGCAGAATAACTGTGTACTCATGTTTAAATCTGAAAGCAAAGAAAAGAGAAACTTCAGTTAATTTGTGAATATTAATCAAAGATAGGTCTCAGTTGTTCAAGTAAATTATTACAACCAGGTCTGTAAGAACTATTCTACAGTAAACTTTGCGTTATCCAGAGCAATGGGAGACGGCAGAACTGTGGAAGGAACCGACTGGTATGGATGCTGTGGGTTACTGGATGCATGCAGTAGTTTATGTGCAGTCAGATATGCTTTGTGCAATATGGACATAGCTGTTAGAGCTTCTAGATCAAAGCTGACCCTAAAAGAATATGGTGCAAATAAAGTGCCTTAGCAAATAAGCCTTGCTGGACTAAGTTGGCTATGCGTGGATCTGGCTTAAGTGTTCCTTCATTATTGCATTGTAGGTGGTGGTTGGTTTAATAGGATGTTAATATACTGTTCATTATGCCTGTTGTTTTACTATTCAAGAATTTTAGAAAAGAACTCTGGAATGAAGATTGCAGTGATAATAACAGGAATTGAAGATACAAAGCTGTAGTTTTACACTAAAAACGTACTCAGAATGTTGTAAGTGCCATGGCAGAGTACTGCTGACTCCTTCCATGAAGCTTATTGTTTATTTTGTAGAATCACTGTTGTCATTCATGTAGCTCTTGAGAAGGTGCTGGTGGTCTCTTTAATAGGTTAGTGTGTTAATGGCTGACATCTGTTAACTTTACCATCTTAATTGGATCCTTTTAGATGTTCAGCCAACTGGTCAGGCACACAGTGTGAGAGGCCAGCTCCCAAAAGCAGCAAGTCTGACAATATCAGTACAAGTAAGTACTTCAAATAACTGCTATCGCTTGTCAAATTTGCTCAGTTTAGAAATTTTAACCTGGTGATAATTCACAATGTGAGTTTGTGTCATGAAATGTGCTGGTTACCTGTATTAAAAAAAAACAAAACAAAACAAAACCCCAAAACAACCAAACACAAATATAGATCTCTCAACTTTTTGATTGATGTTTAGTGTTTCATGAGGTGGTTTGGATGCAAGCCATATGCTATACACTCACTGCTTCAAGGGCTAGCCTGCACTTTTCCTAAGGAAAGTGTATCAAGTTGCAAGTTCTTAGTGATATCACTGCTGAGCAGAGAAAAAGTACGAGACCTCTGACCGTTTAAGTCCTACTGAAAGCATCAAAAATAGAGTTGTAAGTAGTTCATAACTTTTGCATTGGCTGTCTGCAGAGGTTTGAATTTTACCTACTGTGAAAATCATCCTGAAAGTAAGAATAGCTCCTGTCGTATTTTTTTAAACATCTCTGTAAGCATAAAAGGATGGTATTGCTACACTATTGGCAGTTTAAAGTGGACAAGGTTCCCTGCGGTGCATTGAGTATGCTGATGGTACCCTGCTGTACATCTCTCGGTCACATTTAACCCAACTGGAGCAGTAAAATGAATCGCCCACTATTCAGGTCAGCTTGATGCTTAGATGAAATCTTCCTAGCGATCCAGACAAGTGAAATAACACTTACAAGCTGGAAATGGGCAAAAAAGCAGCCAGAACCTAGATCAGTATTTCATGTTGAGGAAAATACCTGCTATGATTTGGGAAATGGGTGTTCATCTTGTGCCTGCTCCCAGACCCCAGGCTGCACCGTGGTGGTCACCAGATGGCAATTCATGCCTGGTGGGCTGTTTCAAGGTTTTTTTCTTGAATGTTCACCTGCCAAGACATAATGAACCTCTTTTTTTTTTTTTTTTTTTTTTTGCCTCCTAAGTAGAACTTCGTCCAGTTATTTATCAAGTGTTATCTTAAAGGACATCACAACAATGCTATTTTATATGCTGAATCTTCAGGATGCTTCAAGTTCTTATTCAGTAGTACTTCATTTTAGGCCTCGGACAACCTGACTTGGCTTTCAGTAATCCTTCAGGCAGAATTCAAGGCGTCTTTTTCAATTCTTTATTTAGACTGTGTTTAATGTAGAGCAGAGACTGCCAACAGCTTACTTTTTTAATAAATCAATAAATGTAACCAATGAAACAACCAGCAATATTTTTGTTCTCCACCAGTTAAGGATTGTGGTATTAAAGGAAATGCATGTCACTCCACATTGGCTTTATACTGGATTCCTGTAGTTTATAAGAGACAGTTTTTTAGAACATAAAATTATTTGTTGCATGTATTCCTTTCTTGCCAGATACTTACATTAAAGTTGAGAAATTCTTAGAAGGGTACAATTGCTGACCTTATTTTTGCAGGTAGTCTCTTTCAGTGAAGTTAGCTGCCAAAATAATGTTAAGCCCATTTTCTTCTTCCCTGTTCCCTCCTCTCCTTTAACATCGCTGTCTGATCTGTGCAGTGTTTTTCTGCTACATTAAGCATTATTGTAGCTTCCTTGATTGCCTATATCAACACAACAAAATTATTGGCTCTCAAGTACAATGCAGTAAAATGCAAGAATGCACCAACCATCTAGAAATGAATATTGCTTACTACTTTTTATTTTCTCACAAATAAAAGTAATAAATACATATAAATGCTAAATGGAATTTTTCAATCAGAGCCATGTCTACTGAATATTTTAAATTAATAATTGCATGACTTAAACTACTGAAAATGATGGTGGCAGTTAAAGTCAGCGGCCATGCCACTCCAATCCAAATTGTTCAGCAATTCCACACACCTTCATATGGTATCGCTGCAAATGCGGGCAGGGAATTAGTCCAAAGTATATTGCTATCCAGAAAGAGGAAGCTCCTGATTTGTTGATGAAAGTACTTGTGTGTACACTGTTATCTGTAATGATTTTTTTTTTATTGATCAACATTAAAATTTCAAATCAGTGAAGCTCATCACATGAAATTGCATTTGTTGGTGAGGGAAATTATTCTTTTTAAATTAATTTAACCGGTTTACAGCTGTGATGAAATTATTAGATGTGGCTGTGAGTATTCAATGATATTTCCTTTTCCTGTTGTAGGGAGCATTGCAATCATTGTTCCTCTTGTTTTACTGGTGACTTTGATCACTACTCTCGTAATTGGGCTATTTCTTTGCAAAAGGAAACGAAGGTAAGTAATCCTGAAAACCAGTTGCTGGTCTGTAAATTGTTTAAGTTATTGAAAATAACTTGTTAAATAATAGATCTTCAGTAGAGAAATAGAACTAACATCAATAAAGAACTTTTTCCTAAAATTATATTTGAAAATACATTTTAGGGTTTTTTTTAATCTCTTCAAAGAAGACTGTCATGTATTAAACTAGGTATAGATGTTCAACACTTGTAGGCTACAGATAAGTGCTTATTTTAGAAAATATTTTTTCTATGCCATTTGTGAAAAGCACAGATCCTTTAGTGTATTGGATTTCAGACACTGACTGCATCTTTCTCAACCAAACAAGAGGACTCAACTATTACCACCCTGACTGTGACCTCCCTATTATTCCCTTGTAATTCTAGAGAACCTATTGCATCGGGAAAAATTACCTGCTTGAGGTTATTTCAATTGCTCAAACTAAAATCACCTCCTTAGCTAAAAGAAATGAATTCAGCAACTAAAACAATTCAGCTCAATCACTTATCTTTACTGATGTCTAATTCAAGGTTAAAAATAAGACTCTATTTTTTATTAAACTTTGAAAAAATTCAAGTTGAACTTCAGCTTTCCAATAACCACTGGCAGGGGATACCAACTGCAACTATGAGAAGTTCATACATTTTTAATGCATCGTAATGAAACCATTTGCTTGTCCTCAGATTACAACTGACTTTGGGCAACTGATTTCAAATGGAAGTGAAATGAATGAGCAAGGGAACATGACTCATGTTCGCTCCATCTTCATTACTGCAGGGAATCTGCAATGAATTTGCAAGGCTTTCCTTGGGAAGTGAGGGAAATCTGGAAATAATAGGAGGAACTCAGGGTTATAGACAATGAGTGAGCACTTTGTTATGAATTCATGCCACTACAGTCAAACTGAGAAAACAATAAAAAACTACTTCCAGCTTATGTGAGATCTACACATAGACTGAGATTGCTACTTTGTGTAAAAATGGAAGGGCTTTCTGATTGTCTCTGCAGGAAACACTTTTTTATCCTGTTGGTCTTAATGATTAAAGAGAAATAAAGTAAAATTTGTACTATTTTAGGATGAGGCATCCAAGAAATGACTTGAAAAGTGACTACCTTTTTTTTGTGTTTATGCATTATAGGACAAAAACTATCAGAAGACAACCCATTATAAATGGAGGAATCAATGTAGAAATTGGCAATCCATCATATAACATGTATGAGGTGGGCCATGATCACAGTGAAGGTGGTCTTTTAGCCTCAGATTTTACTGTAAATGCAGAAAAGGTAATTTTTTCTTTTTCTAGTGGCAAAACCACTACCTATTTTATGTCTTACAAAGGTTTTGACTTTAAATGTAATTAATAGAAACATAAAACAATGACATTTAGATTTAGTTAATGAATATAAAGGCAAGTTAGATTTCATTAGAATAAATGTCATGTATATATTAACAGCTGTTTTGCAGTCTGATGCTTGCTGATGGACGTTTTTCCTAGTGCCTGCATTTTACCAAAATAGAGTTAGAACTAAACTACGAAATGAGGTTTTTGTCACAGACACATCTGCCTTAAGTTGCCAAATCGCAATCTATCTTTTTAGTCTAGTCACAAATACTGAATGGCCATATCTTATTGTACAGTCTACCGTTTGAAGCATGAAAGAGCGTATGCATACATATGGAACTAACTTATTTCATACACAAAAACTTCCAAAGGCATAAAGAATTCAGAGTCCTGGCTGGATAGATAGATTAAATGTTTATACAAAGCTAGTAAGTATTATCATTTTCTTGTAAAAGATGCTGTCACTTCTGCAGCACCACTCTTCAGTGATTGAACTCCCTGAGTGATGTGACATGGGATGAACGGGGTAATGCTGCGATATCTTTCCTAGAGCTCCGTAATCAGACATACACCAAAGGGCAGCCATCATTCTGTGGCATTTCTGACAAAGCAATAACTGGATTACCGTTAGCTCTAGGAACGTCATCGCTGAATCGCATAGTCAGTGTGCTGAATACAAGAGGTAAGCTGAAAATGGAGTTACTCTGGAGGAAGAGCAACTGAGCCAATGCTTACTGTGAAGTCTGGCTCTAACCCTTAATGCAAAATGATTTTAAAATGCTGAATTTTATTCTTTTGTTGAATGCAAGAATGTTTCATGCTGAAGAATACCTGTAAATAGATTTTTTTCTAATTGTAGATCACTCTAAAACAATGTTTTTAATCGTTGCACTGTTTATTTAACAGTGTTGATAAGTACACGTGGAAGATGCTCTATTGGCACAGAAACTAAAATTTTCTGTTTATACAGGCCAGATACATAGGGGGAGGGCCCACTGCATTCAAGCTTCCCCACACAGCTCCATCAATCTACCTAAACTCTGACTTGAAAGGACCACTATCAACAGGGGTGAGAAATGATGACTCAAATCCATTTCATTCCACCACAGCCCCTTTCTAAAGAAAGTTTGTCTGTCATTTTTGAATAGAGGCATTTTCTGTTTGTTTTAAGTTTTGTTTTTCTTCTTTTAATGGCAAGAAGAATGACAGTAAATTATATATTTTATATTTGAAATAAAGGGTTTCCCTCTGCATACAAAATTTCATCTGTACCCATCATTGTAACATGATCTAAAACTGCAAATGTGTCTTTGCAAAGGAATGCAAAACCAGTAAGCAATGTGATGCTTTTCCATAGTATTATATAAGTTTAGCATAGCATTCACAGCCACGTATCTTCATATATTTGCAATTTATATGTAATTACAGGCATTTAGTGAAGTTTATCAAACTGAAAGAATTTCCCAAAGAAATGAAAACAAGTCCTTTTATTATAGAGGAATTTCATACACACTAAAATGAACAAATTCCTTTAATATTTGCAATGCGTTGTTTGATTGTTCAGCTTTCAATCAATTTTGATCATAAAATAGTTACTTTTAAAACATCAGATTTTGACTACAATTTAGCATGATTTTTGCAAACATTGAAATTTAAAATATTAAAAAGGGACATCAATATGACATTCATTTTCATGTGCCTGAGTATATATATTCATCTTTTGTGCCATTTGCATTCTTGCATGACTGTAATATGTTGTATTTGGCAGTTTAACAATTTGTATAGGGTATAATATTTCTGATGGAGCACAAAACCATGGATGATGAAAGCTAGAGTGTATGCCCATCTCTAACATTAACTCTTGCTGTTATTCAAGTCACTCCAGTTACTTTCTGTACCTCACTGTACTGCATTATGCTATCAGTACCCACTCAGAGAGGTATCGTGAGACAGACCCTACTATTATATATAATTTTAATAACTCCATAAGGCACTATATAGATGCCAAGTGTCTCTGTTCTGTTGTGGTTATCATCCTTAATAATGATTGTCAATGAAATAAAAAGTCCTGTCAATTGAAATAAAAATAAATTTCTCTTTTCCTAAATTTCTGTTTATAATCATTACAGCAAATGTAAAGACAGGTGTAACTGAGAGTTCGCTCTCATAAATTACTAGAGCAGTTGATTGCATATTTATGTTCCATTAATATAGAAGAGTAGCTTCTTCTTTCTTTCTTTTTTTTTTTAAATAAATGTGACTCACCTTTTTCTGACTCCCTTCCAGGAAAGTCTGAAACCCTAGGCAATCACTTTGTCATCTGTAATAAATGGAATAGGCAGCTTTTAACTAACTAAATGAGTAGCTGCCATAGCTAGCCAGCCTAAAGAATATCTGAATCCTGGGCTCAGAAATGGTATTGGTCAACAGGGAAAGGAAGAATTAAGATTCTAGACATCTTTCATTCCTTGTTACCCAGGCTGTACTTCAGGATATTTGCAAGTCAAGAAAACATACCCACTTCTGGTTTGGGTAATTTAAAGTTCAGCCATTTCTTACACACACCAAACAAATTAATTTACCTATTTTATAGCTTACTGGTGTTCCACTCAGTATTTGTGTAAGCAAAACTGTGCTGTTCCATTAGTTAAAGAGGAAGATTTTGACCGCAAGGTACCCTTTCCAGTTATTGTAGGTAAAAAGCTGAATGTCTAGTTGGATAGCAAAGGTCTTCTAGGAGACAATAAAGGCACAAAGTATGAAGGAATTAGTGAAGATGTTTACATGATAAACCTTGGATAGTGTTTTCTCCTTAGCATGAGTGATAGGAGAGTAAGTTTTCATCCATGTTATACATCCTTCTGTGCTGTCAGACTCAGGAGACTTCTCATATACTGAAGTGCTTTGCAGAATTAAAAATGGACTTGTCCTATGCTGAAGTACCACTCATTTCAATAGATTTTTTCATTACAGTCCAAACTACCAAAATTGTTGAGAAAATACTTCTCAATCTGTAACTACTATGATATATTAACAGTTATGCTGGTTTATTATTAAAGTTTAATTTACATTACAAAAGTTATTGAATTTTTGGTCAAATCATGTTGTATATTTGGGCCACAGAATTCGAAAACATGGTCAGCTATTGATGGGATGCTGATGTCTTAGAACAGGTAATATATGGAAACTGTTGGTTGCAGTTTTCTACTGTTAAACTTGTCACATGGTCTCACAGTGCACCTTCTCTATAAACTTCTTCATATCTATTCTGAAATCTTCCAGTGTAATAAGGTGGACAAGTCAACTTCAGAGACATTTTTCAAGGTTTTTGTTTTAATTTTTGTCATTGTTTTTATGGTTTTAATGTCATAATGTGCTGCATGTCATGTCATTGATTATTTTAATAGCATGTCTCATCATGAACTTAATTTTTAACTAAATAATTAACTCATCAGGTTTGCAGAAGTCCAGGTATCTATTAAATACGTCCAATTGTATTTTATGTGTACTTGTTCTTGCTTTAACAAAACCATTTCCATCTCCATAAACGTTTATTTTGGTTTAATCCAACTGATCTAATGTATGCTTAATTTCTCTGCAGCCAACAAATTACGCCAATCCAGTATATGCAAAGTTATACATGGATGGACAAAACTGTCGAAGCTCCTTAGCAAGTGTTGATGAAAGAAGAGAACTCCTTCCAAAGAAAATAGATATTGGGATAAGGGAGACTGTGGCATAATCTGCTGTTACCTTTTATACTCTGTATAAATGTATAAAATATAAGGATTACTTTTCTATGTACCAACAGTATTATAATTGTTTTGGCATCAGCATTACCTCTGTTTTTTGTTTGGTTGATTGTTTTCTGGGTTTTTCTTTTGCTGATGACTTTTGACTGACCATTTGTAAGGTATTTTTATGAAAAAGAAACTGCACTACGGTACAATTTACAACAATGCTGCTGAAATAACACACCTTTAAATTTGTTAAAATTGCAAACATATTCGTTTGTAGCGTGAAAATGAGCAATCTATTTTCTATGAACTTTTTTGGTTCTACTTAATCGATGAAGATGGTATCTGCACTTTTTCATTATGTAGTCTGGAAGCTGTAGTACAGTGTGTAATTTTGTTTATTTTAAATGGTGAAAGAATGATTGAATGGTCTACTCTCTTCTTTGTGCCCATTAGAATTTCCTTCAGATCCTGATAAAGCTAGATAACTTTTCACAAACAAACATAACTTGCTTTTGAATTAGCTTTAGGTTGCCAAGAAGTAAACAAGACTATAGAAATGAAACATCTAATGATCTGCATGAACACGATGATTATGTTTCAGAAATTCAGTGACTGTACATGATATACTAAACATATATACCATGTAAACAAGCTTTGTATTTATTAAAACCTTATAGAACATAGTAACGATATATCTTGGAAGCTGAAACCTTACTTGCTGTGGGACAAAGCATATGAACTCCAACAGTCCTGTAGGATAGTAGCCACCCTAGAGCACAAGAAGGCATTGCCTACACATGCATTATGTGTTTATTCACTTAATCACATGCATTACTTACGGATTAATAATTCCCCAACACATACCAAGCAGTAGGGAAAAAAACAAACCCCAAACCTTAAGCACACACAGATGATCACAGCATTCAGTTTTGACAATCACAAAAAAGTCATACCTGTTTAGAGATATTAAAGAATACAAAACACAGCAGTTTCTTTAAATGAAGATAAACTGTGATATTGCGGAGGTAAAACATAACCAAATTGCATATCAGTGAAACCTTACCTAAGCCTGAGTTTCAATAGTCTGGGTTGAATATCAAAATCCAATTATTGAAAGTGAAAAGCATCAGTATCAGTTTCCAGCGCTTGCTCTGACCTGGTCTGCTTTCTGTTGTTGCTAAGAGGAAAAATCTGACTCACCTTTTTTAATTTTGATGGAAATAAAGAATACAATTTCTTTCAGGTTTGAACTGAATTGAAATATTTTATACATAACTTTAAAGGCACAAAAGACTTATTCACACATATACTGTGGAGGACTCTTCCTTCCTCTGCTAGACATGACTGACTTTTAGCTATCATAATATATTAACCTAACAGATTAAATATGTTTGTGGTTGCTCTTTATTCCCTTTGTACAAGCATTACAAAAATAACTGCTGTTTTATAAAAGATTTTTGTTGTACTATTGTGCATGCATACTACCTATTTCTAAACTTTGCCATATTGGGGCCTTTATAAAACTCTTGATTTATGTAATACTAGTGCAATTTTGCTTGAACAATGTTATGCATATCATAAACTTTTTCAGGTTCTTGTTTAAGTACATTTTTTTAAATTGAACAGTATTTTTCATTTTGGTTATAATAGTCATTTTGCCTATGTTTCTACAATGAAGTGTTAAATACTTTATAAAAAAATTGTTGACTGATTTATTTAAATGAAAATCTACATACTTAATTCAGTGTGTTGACTAATTTTTAAATTTAACTTATAAAATGAAAACTAAAGAAGAGCAAATTGAAGGGGAAGAAAATTACTGTGTACAAATGGCTAAATTCCTTTTCTTAATGACAATTTTTGCTTTTTATACAACTTCTATTTGAATGTTTTTGCAGCTCTTCACATGTTTGGATAACTTAGGTGTATAGCTGTATATTATGTCAATAGAATTTTAAAACAATTTTATTTTCTATAAAAATACTGTATTAAATAGTTTCATACCATACAGCTATGATTCCACAGGTTCTGCCTTTATTCTGCTGACATCATCAGAGGTGGATTTGGCCCTCAATTTTTGCATAATTACAGTTGTTATGAGGCGTAAGTAGTTGGTCTTTTCAGAAACGTTACTGTTTGTTTCCTGGCAGAGAATCTCATATCTGTAATACTCAGGTAGAACTAAATTTTAACTAGTGGGTATACAAGTAACATGAGTTTGAAATCATGAACTCTTATACAGACTTATTGAAATTTATTTATTGTGATGTCTCATGTTTCCTTTCAGTGAGACATTTTTATTTACTTTACACTTGCTTAAGTGTAATTTACTTTTAAACAAAAATTTATCTGTTTTCTTAGAAATACACAGTTGATGTCAGTGGAGCTATTAGATATTGGATATTAGATCAGAATCTGGTCTTAAGTTTATGGGCAGAATTTTGATGGAGATATTGAGCTCTACCACTGCCATGCCTTAAAGATCTTTAAATTACACATTGGTGTAGTAATCCCCAATGGATTTTGTTTTGTTTTTTTTTACTTTACCAAGGTTCTCCGTAGAAACTGTTTCTCACAATCCTTTAACAGCCCCAGAATCCCCAGGCTCTCTAGCTGTGCAAAACACACAAGGAGCTGGAGGGTGAAAGATTGAGAACCTGATCAATAACCTATACATGCATCTTCATAAGTTCAGTAAAACAATTTTAGGCAGGAAATTCTATAAACTTTTACAAGGAACAACAAAAATTTTTAACTTTCTACATTTCCACAGCCTTCTTGCTGTTATTAATGCCACAGATTCATGTGTGTTTTAAGTTGACATAAGCTTAGAAGAAAAAAAAATAGGATAAATGTGCCTGTATCACTGATTAAAACATCTGTCTCTTCAGGGTATAGTTGCAAGGCTTTTTGTGGTTGCTTTCCTGAAGATACTAATGACATTTCATGTGAAATGCTAGTACTGTGAATTCGTCAGGGTAAAATTGTTCTTCCACAGTATTAATAATTTTTCTTAGCAATGTGAAGCCGTTTGTGGGTTCCATAAATATCAGGTATTAAAATTATTCAGCGAAGTGGAACTTCTGATAAATCTAGCCCTGAAATACACTTTTCATTTACTTTTTACTCTTAGGCTAAGGAATGGTTCCAGGATCCTGGGTGACCACGATACAGCTCTGTCTCTCTTTATTTTCATTACCCACATTTTCATTCAACAGAAAAAAAAATACATGTAAGCATGAAGGGTGACATGATGTGCTCCATCACAAACTAGGTTCTTGAATTCTTTGCTGAATGGAGAAGCTCTACGCAAAACATATGAAAAAAAGCCTTTGTGCCAAACTATGTAATTGTGTCTAATGGATCTTCTTTTTTTTCCACAGAGGTTATACTAGTATATTTACACACAACAACAGTGCAGTGGAGTCTGCCTTGTGATAGGCCTCTTGTTCTATGCAAGTTTGCACAAAGACCATATTATGTTTGCATAAAAACTATGTTTGTATAAACACTATATTATGACAACAAAAGTTCAAAACGACAAATTGAGATGGATGGTGCTCTTGATACTTTGATTAACCGTTCCGCACAACTAAGATTGCCAACGTGAATACAGTCCTGTTGATAAACACACTAGGAAACACATTTGAGAATATTTATTTTGACGTGCATTTTTTAATTGGTCTTTCATTTCCAAGACAGTCATGGGGTTTGATGTTTGCAGAAGGAAAGCTCTGTAGTGGAATGCCTTTAAAACTCATACCTAAGTTTATTATCTATCAGTGAGATTGTGGAGAAGGTCCTAATATAACTGTAATTGTTTTATTTTTATCAAGCTTTTAGTGACCAAAATCGATGTGGTCACATATGTAATAAAATTTTGTGTAAACACATTTCAGAAAATTTGTTTCACATAAAAATGCATAATGTATCAGAACAAAACCAAGTATCTTCTCATGTGTCCCCCTTTTTGGAGGATGAGAAGATGATAAAGGAAAGAAATGTCAGTGATAATAAAAGGTCCTCAAGGTAATCAGCTTTAAAAATAAAAACATTTTTCATGTGGAACAAGTAGATCAACAGTGAATCTTGTCTGTCTAGTCCTGGGCATCTCTGCAAAGATACTGAGGCGTTTGGAATTTTTCAAGTCTTAGACGGGCAGAAGTATGGCTGACAGAGAGAATGATAATTTATCATCCCAGTTCTCTAATTTATCACACTTACCATCTCCACATGTGTGAAATACAGATCTGATAAAAATAAGGGTTTCTAATTTAATGCCCATATTGTAAGATGACAGAAAGGAGCAAAGAAGCATAAAGCATCTTTTTGCTTCCCTATGCCAGCTGCACATCACTTAGTACGTGTTGTGACTCTCATGACCTCTGACAGTCGTCTTCGAAGAAGTATTTGAATAGAGGGAACTGTCTGCTGGCCTCAAGAGGGTGTTAAATGAGTTTTTCCTGGAAAGGAGATAATGATACTACTACTCCTCTACTGCTACTAAACCTAATAATGATCCATTTTTGTCCCCCCCCCCAAAAAAAAAAAAAAAAGAATTTTTAAATATCAAGATGTGTGCATATACACAATATGTATAGTATCAGAACTTGTGTAGTTACTCTGAGTAAAACCTCGTTTTCACAGGTGAGTAGAAAGGAAGGTCTGAAACTGCCATGGAAACTCAAGGGATGTATTAATTTAGGATTACTGTTAAGGTCTTTTAAAGTGAGTGTTCAACCTGGAGAAAAAAAAGGATTATCAAGCTGGTCACTGAATTTTTCTGAATCTGAAACAAATTTGGACGTTACAAGAGTTGGCACCTCAAAAGATTTCAGGGAAAAAAGCTGTGTAGTCAAACAGTTTCTCACTTGTGTTTCATGTTGGTAATGCACAAACAGCATTAGTAGGTGTTTGATGATTCGTTAGAGATAAACAGAATAAGATAAGCACATGTAGATTCATGACAGCAGTAGCTGAAGAGATGATTTGCTCAAATCAGTGTTCAACCACCTGAATAGCTCAAGAGGTTGGGAAGGGATTCCACTTGAGCCTTGGGGAATGGGTTGCCACCTGCATCGACATGCCTGGATGTGCTGATGTCTAAATCCGGTGAGCTGCGTGTGAGAGCTCTGTAAGAGGCCAACACCAAGATCAGGCCAGGAGCCTCAACGGTCTTGCTCTGTCCAAAGAGCAGGAGACAATGTTAAGGTACAAAGTTTTAATTCCATTGATGACTGTAAGGTTTGGGCATCACCCGTAAGGCTAATAGGGTATCCCAGGCTAAGGGTGCTGGAGTCCTGGTCTATCAGAAAGGCAGGAGTGAACCTTTGAAGAGCACATTGTTGCTGGGTGTGAGAGCAATCACATCTGATAGGAAAGTTGTAGCAGAGAGCGAGTGGTCAGGCCTTGGAACAGGCTGCCCAGGGAAGTGGTGGAGTCACCATCCCTGGAGGTATTTAAAAGACATGTAGATGAGGCGCTTAGGGACATGGTTTAGTGGGCATGGTGGTGTTGG